CACACGTCCCATCAGTCAGAGACTTGATTTTGGGAAGATCTTTGTACAAAAGATCTTTGTGGAGGCAAGGTGTGGCGGGTGAAGCGTTGCAGCGTGGTAGAAGCGGAGTGCGGGCCTTTGCATCCACTGCGTGCTTGTGGATGAGTCCGGTTCATTCGCTGATGCGTGTTTAGTTCGTTCCTCATGCGCTCACATCGGCATGCACAATCAGCTCGTCCCTTGTTTAATCACCTCGTTCGACACGTGGCTTGGGCCACGAGTGCGGACACGTGGTGGGCGAGGTGGAGGGTCTGACATAGGCCCGTAACAATTACTATTTCAAAACATATTTCTTTATATTAAGCCACGTTTGGTATGAATTTAAGCCAAAATTAACAATTAATTTCAACCACATATTTCATGAGATCCATAATTTTTCAACCACATATTTCATCATCTTTTATCATAATATATTAAAATTTAATTTTAATCCCTACAAAATAGGGGATAAAAAATATCAAATGTTTGCATTTTTATATATCATATTAGCATACATATAATCCCCGTTTGAGTATCGTTCTATCAAAACTCACTTTTTTTTCAATTTTACTTTCAATTGCATATTTTTCCAATGACCTATAAAAAATGGGGCCCGATTGAGCATCTTTTGTGAAGAATGCATTTTAAAATAGTAGAATGAATGAGAATGTATTGTTAAAAATGAAGGAAAATTTTTTGAATTGCATTTAATATTATTTTATTGAAAAATGTGTAGTTGAAAAGAAAATAGATAAAAATGTATTTTGAAAAAATGGGGATCAAACAAGATCTACATAAACTCAAAATTTTTACTTTTTAACCATACCTTTTCCAGAAAATTTTATTTACAAAACATATTTTCCCCTATAAATGGAGGCTCAAACAAACAAAAGGTACGTATAGATAATATTTAGCTCCCGTTTGAGTCATATTAAAATTTTCATTCTATTATCCTACTCATTTTCAATTATACATTTTTAATAAAATAATATTTTCTATCAATCAATAACTTTTCATTCTTTTTCAACTACACATTCTCCATCAATCTACTATATTCTAAAATAATGTGGCCCAAACACACCATTATTATAAAGCATCAAAATGTTTAAACTTTTTCAGAAATTAATTTTTAAATAAAAATTAAAGTAGTTTTTTCATAAAAATCTTTGCAAAAACAAAAGGAAAAGTTATGGCAAACGATTCGTTAATTGAACTTATGATCTCATGAGACATCACGACAAGGTAAGCTGTAGACTAAGAATATCTATAAGAGACTCTTTAAACATTAGATGCTCTCTATTTTAAAAAGTCAACATTTAAAATTCTGCTCCAGAGACTATTTAAATTAACATTTTAATTTAGAGAGTGACTGTCTATAATTAAATGCATTCAAAGTGTCTCAATTTTCATTGTAAGAAAACAATAAAATAATAGATAAAAAAATAATAAATATTTTTGAAGAGTAGTAAAATTAAGTGTTGAATATAAAAAACTCGTTGGAATACTTCAAAATTTTAACTTTCTAAATTTATAAATACTCTTCAAATGATAAAATATGTTCTTTAAAAATAAAAAAGTGTATTGGACATGCTATGATAATATCATTGATCCAATTGATAAATAACATAGTACACGATCTCTTGTAGCATTTTCCGCCTTTTGCTTTTGTTGTCCTCGAAAACATTCGTGGAAGAAGGTCACAGGTGGAAATTTCAATGTGGGGAAAAGCAAGAGTCGCAAGTGGAAGACCATAAGTTCGTGAGTCAAGCAGCAGCATTGGAATATGACCCAAAAACCTTTTCTTTAACATCTTTCTTCTCGTGTAAGCTAAGTCCCTGTTTGGCCCCCATTATTGTAGATTTTTAGGGGGTTGAAAATTTTTAAAATAGTGATTGATGGGAGATGTGTGGTTGAAAAGTTTTAGATTTGTGTGTATTATTATTTTATTTGATGAATGTATG